TTGTTGTTCACTTTAAGTGAGATTTCCTTAAAGTAAATTCTTCAACTTCTTTATTTAGGATTGGAGAAGAGAATTTTTTAAATTATAAATAGCTTTGAATAATATATATATAACTGAAGAAACTTATATTTGCTTGTTTATCTTTCGTTTTTAATAAAATAAATCTATTTTTTAATTAATCAAATTGATGATCCCAATTTAAATTACTTATTAAATTAATATTTTTTATGCTATTAATTTATATAGATTTAATCATGAAAATATAGTATTTAATTGACTATTCTCATATCAAAAATATGTCATTAGTTGGATTTATATCTATTTATTATGTAACCACGTTAATATCAAGTTTATATTGGAATTAAGCAAAAATTAAGTGAATAAATTTAGAATTTTATCTCTTTAAGACCTCTAAACATTATTTTTAATATTATAATATAATTTATCTTTGGGATACAAATTTGATTAACACAAATCATATTATTATTAATTCATATATTTTTGGCATTAAGAATATTCAATTCAACAGATTTGATATAGATCACCAGATATAAAAATAACTCCAAAGAATGAACGGTGGAGGCCTTTTTCAGTTTTTGTAACACGTCCAACCCTAGTATTACATACTTATGTACTTGTTGAAAGTAGTACACATAGTAAAAATTAAATCCAGAAAATTATTAAGAGAATCACTCATTCCCACCAAAAATCTAATCCTATTTCTATTATTTTAAATCTTAATATATTTTTAATATAAAGCCTAATATAAAAAGAATAAGAAATTCCTTAATTTTATTAAAAAAAATATTATGTAGTGCACTCATTACTAGAAAGAAGAGATATCCAAGCTTTTCGTGAATTTTAAAGATGTTGATGAATAGATATTGAGTCATATGATTGAAATGTTAAGAAAAGAAATTAGATTGTATACGATATCTTCCAATTGATGAGAATTAAAAGCATCTTAAACAATAAATTTTAAAAATAATGAATTAATCATCTGAGGACATGGAGGAGAATCTATTTGTTGAAGGGAATGACATTAAGATAATTCATAATATCCTAAAAACAATTAAAGAATATTAATTTAATATAAATAATTTTTCAGATGAAAAATTTTTCCAAATTAAGGAAGAAATAAAGAAAAAAATTAAAGAGAACAAGGAGATAATTGAACTTTTTAAATTTTTAGTTCATCTTTGGGTTATAGATGGCCAATTCATCGTATGCAAATCTAATTCACTAAACTTATTAGTTGAAATGAAGATTGATCTAAAGAGCTAATAACTGGAAAATATCAAGATTTAGAATGCTTTGTTAATTGGAGCTGATTTTGTAAGATGTAATTTGAGTTGAGAAGAGTTTAATAATGTAGATATTAGTGGAATGAATTTTAATGGAGCTCTACTCATTAACTGTAAATGGAAGAATATTAAAATACATGAATTGAAAAAATTAGAAGGTCATATTAGCTCAGTCCAATCAGGCTGCTTCTCTCCTGATGGTACTACATTAGCAGCTGGTAGTATAGATAAGTCTACCAAATTATGGGATATTATAACAGCATAATAAAAAGCAAAAATGGATGGTCATATTGGTTGTGTGAACTCAGTCGGCTTCTCTCCTGATGGTACTACCTTAGCATCTGGTAGTGAAGATAACTCTATCCTTTTATGGGATGTTAAAACAGGATAATAAAAAGCACAATTTTATGGTCATGAATATTCAGTCATATCAGTCTGCTTCTCTTTTGATGGATCTACTTTAGCATCTAGTAGTTTGGATAAGTCTATCCGATTATGGGATGTTAAAACAGGAAAATAAAAAGCCAAATTAGATGGTCATGAATATTCAGTTATTTCAGTCTGCTTCTCTCCTGATAATACTACCTTAGCATCAGGTAGTAGAGATAATTCTATCAGATTATGGGATGTTAAAACTTTTTAAGAGATTCAATGTTTAGGTAATAGAAAAAAATATATTTTAGCACAATTTAAAACACTACTTGTCTTAAACAATACTCTTCAACAAAGTTGTATTTATTTATATTAAATCTAGCTTAATTTTTCAGTTATTAATGTTATCATTTAGGACCTTTATTAAAATCACTTTCTAGTATTATTTTGGATAATTGAATATAATCTGATAAGTAATTTAAATGTGTTATAAATGATTTATCATTCTTGAATCTGTATGTAATCTTCATCAACTGGTTCCTAGAATTCATTTTATGAAGAGTTAAATTTTTTATCTATATATTTCATAATGTTTGTTAGTTTTGTTTGCAATCTTCCTTACAAAATTTAAAATGTCACTCAATTAGTA